TATAAATTATTTCTAATAGAAGCAACTAAAATCGTATATATCAAAAGCTTTCACTATATTCATTCATCAAAATCTCATTTATAATAGTCAGGAGATTACATACAATCAATAATCTATTTCAAACTCCTTACTACAAAAAAAATAAATAAAGAATAACAAAATAAAAGAAACTTTATAATATGGATCTGCCTGACTCAGAAGGATCCCAACCCTTTCCATGACCTGAAATCAATAAAATCACATAATGAGCTCACAATGTATAACAAGTAACAAAATATTACCATTGCATTAAATGCAAGACCAAAGGATCAACATGCATGATCAGTCTAATCCCATATCAATTATTATGCCATCAATATAAATAGTAAATGCACATTAATACATCTTTGCATGAACAATAATCATAAGTAAAACCAATATGATCTACACTAGAAAAATAATTCAATAAGAAAATTAAACAAATCCATCAATTTGCCATAAAATCCATCAATCTGGCATATCATGTTGGTTTGCAACAAGCGATTCCTAAGATCCAAGTTATGGAAACTTTTAAGAATTTTCGTTCAAATTTTAACTTTAAAGTAAAAAAAATTAATCAAAGAGCTACTAATAATATCTAGTATACTAAAAATAAACTCATCAATAAAATTCACTTATTATTTATCATCAAAATGTATGTATAACTACAATACATGGCTATATACTCGAATACAAAATAGTGTAAAATAATAACTAGCCATGATTATAAATAAATGAAATAAAAGAAATACCTCTAGAGACTCATATTTGATCATGATATTGCTACTCAACTAACCCTTTCCTTTTCTCGGACCTAAAAAAAAAGAATATGAAATAAATGTGAGCTAACATAACTCAGTAGGTCGTATTTTACCAATCTAAATTTCAAAAAAAAATATTTATAAAGTGTGTAGTTAAGTTTAAAATATTATATATTAAATCACTATATTGAATAGAATTGTACTTGTAGCTATAAAAAAACTTATCTAGCATTGTAAAAATATAAATGAACAAGCACTTTATATATTAGAACAGAAAGTAACAACTTTCTTGTGCCCTTATGCTTCCTAATGTCAACACCAAAATATAATATATGTAATATAATATCAGAACATGCGTGCAAGCACTAGAACATATCTCGTTACACCCACATCAGGTCTCTTCAGAATCATACATATCAACCAATTAAGCATCTAATTTATTGCATTGCGGTAATTAAACCCATTCTATAATTTCACAAAAAGCTATAACAGTGAGCAGCTAAATATATAACTGAGTAGAAATGCGTTGTTTTAGAACATAATCAAATTACTACATATTGTTCAAAATATTATCTTAAAGCTTTAATTGTAGTACAATCTTATTTATTAGCGTCATAATTATTTTTAGTCAATTAAAATAGTGTGTGTAATTCTCAAAATTTTCGGTGTAAAAATTTCAACAAAAAAAAAATCTAAATGTCTAGGATCATTGTCTTTATAACATACTAAAAGTTAAGTGGCAAAAGTTTTGTAGATAACAAGTTATCCATACTTTTTGCTAATGGAATTATAAATGAAATTAGAGAATTCTAGAAATCTTCATATTTTTAAAGACTAAAGCTTCATATGAGATTGTTTTTTTATTGCTTCTTAAAACAACTTTCTAGTTTAAAAATTAAAAATTTTATACTATAAAGCTGCTTTAAGAAAGAGTAAGAAAGCCGTCTCAAATGAAGTCTCACATAGGAAAGATATCACATGTCTCGATCCAAGTAACATTCAGAACTAGGTCGTCAGTTGAAAATGACCCAAAGTAGCCCAAATATGACTTTCTTTCACTTGGATTCTCTCCCACTCTCTCCAGACAAAAACTACCTTCGAAGAATAAAATGAATGGCATTTTAATGTAAATTTATTTTTTATTATTAAAATTTAGTTAGCGCCGCAGTAGCATGTAGAGCCCACCACGACACTCCCTTAAATAGCCCACAACACCGCAACTCTGCCTTAGTGTCGCTGCGCTGATTTATTTTCCAAATATCTTGAGAGCATAGGCACTTGAGCGCCGCTAACCCCAACTTCATAGTGCCCGAAGAGAAAAATTTAGACTTGTGCAATCTTACAAACAAACCCTCGAGACCCATTTAAGAACATATGCATACTCTCACATCCACACATAATATTCTCAAACACATCCATAAAAGTTTAAAAGCAAAAAATTAATTGATTACCTTGAATCTGGTATGGTCATAATGTGTTAAACAATACACTAATTTTATAGGTTTTATAGTAGAAAGGAAAAATGATGTGTTTTTAGTGGCGACTATTTTATATTATGTTCAATACAAGCTGATTTACAAAAGCATGTGCACACATGTAATTCCTTTATCAGTGCAGATACTATGCTTGAATAGATATAAGATGATCGAGTGGAAGCATAAATGAAAGTGGAGCTATAAGAAATTTGAATTAATATGACCTAGCATAGGTGTAAAATGGAAGTGGAGGTATAAAAAGGCATTGGGAAAATATGCTATATAAATGTAAAACATGTTCTGATTTATGTGTTACATGTTATGATTCATCAAGTATTATCATCATAAATACACTCTCTTATCATTTATTCACATCTAACTAGATTTTGGGATGTATTTATGATGAATGTATCAATATTTTGAACTCATGTCATCACATGTATTTTGAACTCATGAAGTAGTGATGATCATTTTGTTTATATCATTAAATAACTATTAATTTTATTCTAGATACAATTATTTATTTTTATGATTAAAATGGTGAAAATAATCATTTGTTATATATGTTTGATTTTTCAATTTAATGTGCTCCGAGATATAGAATAGTCACATTACTTCACTTCACCAATACTCTATTAGACTCCACATTATACATCAAACTAATCAAAATAATAATAATCCTCTTACATTTATTTTATAAACAACCAAACAACCCTTAAATTTTTATAATATACTATTTTTACTTTCCTTTGTAAACACTCAACCAAGCATTAAAAAAAATATTTAATTTATATTTTATTCTTAGAGTACATTACATTTAATTTATACTTTATTCTATTTACTATTTTTTTCCAACAAACTTAACAACCTCTAAACCAATTATATTTGTCATATAATATGATTTGGTGTAACAAATTTTCTAATGAGACCAAAGTAAATAATACAAAAGCAATAAAATATCCCCTTCATTCACTATCACATCAACAATTTTCAAATTATAAATAATAAAATTAAACTATTTCAAATAAACTTTACAAGCATATCTTCCTACCTATGAAGTAAAAAATATATTTTCTCATGAAAAATATTAGTAGTTTATTTTTCCTTAATTTAAAGGATTTTGACAAAGCAGAAGAAATCCTATGCATCTTAAGGCTTAGTTTGGGCCGGACATATTATTTATTGCTTTTTAAAGTAATTTTTAATACAAAAATTTTATGAATAAAATTTTTTATATTAAAAAATCATAGTAAGAAAGCTGTCCCAAACGATACCTAAGATTTCATTTGGGACTACTTTTTTACTGTTTCTTAATGCAGCTTTTCTGTAAAAAAATCTTATTGCTTCTTAAAGCAGCTTTTTAGTAAAAAATTTAAGAAGGCCGTTAAACGAAGCCTAAGTGAATTGAGAAGTAATTGATTAGTGAGGGGTCATGATCGATGCATTTGATCAAATAACAAATTTTTTAAGGTGGTTTTCCAGTCATTGACTAATTAAGATATAGATTATTATGGCCAACAACCCTTCTGTGGAAATGTGAACGAGGAGGGGATTTTGTATTGTTTTTGTCGCATTTAATCCATTTATTCAATTTAAAAATTGAGTGTGAGCATCAATTAATAAGAAAATTGAAAAATTTCCAGGTCTTTACAGGAATAATTTCCTGAACTAATTAGGTTGAGGAGTTGGAACTAAAAATGCAAAATATTTTTTGATATCATTAAGGAAAACAATCAAAGTAACTATTTTTATTTATAAATATATTTGTATATCGCAGAAAATGTCTCTTAGGGGTGTCAAAATGAATTAATAGGTCAAGTTCATCTCCAACACGAAATTGATCAAACCCAAATTCACTCTATCTAAACCCAACCCGTTTAATAAACTGGTCAAAATGATGAAACCAAACTCGACTTGCCGACAACTCGAATGATCCGTACATGACCTCATAACCCATTATGATTAATTTTTTCTTATAACTTGTTATCATAAAGTTTAGATAAATTGATTAAAAAATAAGAAGATTATACCAATAAGTAAAAGAATTTGGAAAAATAAATAAACAGGTCACTTTTGGGTCAAAATAAATTCACAGGTCATGTTGAACTAATCCGTTTAATAATTATGTCGGAATTTCAGACTTGAATAGGACTGTTTATTAAATAGGACAACTTGAATCTTTTTTTTTTTCTTTTTGGATCAGGTTGAGTTTGGGTTGGATCATATTTGACGAGAAATTATTATGTGTCATCAGACCAGTTGGAGGTCAATCAGAACACAGCACGTCACGATACACAGTGGTACACTTAATAATTCATAGCAAATTGGTGACATAGTGTGTCCTGATTAACTTTCGGACAACCGCACGTAATAACTTGGCATGTTTGACACCCCTAATCTACCTCAGCATAAGCTTCTACTTTGCAATTGAAAAGAGTGCGATATATATATTCATAACCAAACCGACCATTCCTTTTAAAAACAGCACTACTGAAGCAGTCCCCCTACTTCCTCTCCAATTTCTACACATTAGCTAAAAAATAATCTGCCTTGTGGCTCCCAATTTCCAATTTCCTTGACTTTGCTTCACCTTCATCCGAATCCAAACCTACTATACACATTAAATAAAAAAAAAAAAATCTTAAAAAATTACAGCCAACGCCTACTTCGATCCTCGCTCCACAAATATAAATCTACTCTTGTTTTGCCAGTCATTCACACATCAAGGCTTTAAATTACTCTACTTGCTATTTCAGAAATATTTGCAGCATCATGGTTTCAGGTTCCTTCACCTTTCAGGAAGTTTCGACCGTTGGACCCGACAGATTATGGAAAGCAGGCATTCTTGATGCTCACAATCTTCTTCCAAAGCTCTTGCCTGATTTCATTTCGAAGGTTGAGCTGCTTGAAGGTGATGGTGGAGCTGGCACTGTCAAGAAGTTTCACTTTTCTGAAGGTTTGAATTACTCCAGAAATCTTTCAGATCGCATTATAAACAGGCATAGCATTATATACCTTTTAAATGGTGCAAATTTCAGTGATTTTGTAGGAAAAAGTAGATATGATGATATATATTTGGAAAGAGGAACACTGGGTTGTTCCAAATTGAACCTTATGTAGTGAATAAGAATCATCAATTCAAACGTTTAAGCTAATTTGTAAGAGGCACAGATCTTATTTTTGTTTTTGATATGGGAATCAATCACATAAGAACTTATTTCAACCTTCTGTAGGAGTTAGGAGAAATTATTATGCGGGCGGCCTGGAGACCAACCAGAATGCGGCACGTCACCTGGTACATAGCGGTATTGAGCACCGGTACCGAGCAAAAAAGTGATGTGATACATTCTTGTTGGTCTCCAGATGCCAACCGGATCCGCATAGAATAAATTTTCCGTTGTTAACTAGTCACTGCTCTTAAATTTTGTTCAATGATGAATCAAAACTCATAGGAACTGTATTAAATGCTGGTTTTTAATTGAATTATTGGTCATGATATTACTAATTAAGAGATTGAAACATCTAAGATTTAGGCTTAATTTGAGAAGATTTTCTTACTGCTTCTTAAAGAAGCTTTCTAGTAAGAAAGTCATCCCAAACAAAACCTATATTTGAGCCCAGTATAGTAGTGCTTGGATATCCTTTATTCAAATCTATTAAGAATAGAACATTATTCAGATTTTTAGGCTTTGTTTGGATTGAATAGAACATTATTCAGATTTTTAGGCTTTGTTTGGATTGAAGTAAAGCGGAGAAAATGAAATGAAATCGTAATATTTTATTGGTTGATTATGAATTGCAGCCATTGATTTAAGTTTTTCATTTCCTTTCACTGCTTAATAAGTTTCCATGGCCAAATTGAAGAACTAAAAACCCTTCCAAATTAATCTATAATCGTCAATCTATATTATGCAAACGTAAACAAGTTCCTCAATTCTTTGCAGCTGTGAAGGAATTTCGCTTCATTGTAGACAAAACTGAGGAACTGAACAATGAGAAGTACATATTAAAACAGTCCATCATTGAGGGTGGGCTCATTGGCTTAAGGCTCAAGTCTTACTCCTTTGAAATGAAGCTTGATGTTGGGAACAATGGTGAAAACTTGCAGAAGACCACAGTGTTTTATGAAACTTTGGATGATACTCCTCTCAGTGCAGAAGAGCAAGAACAGATCAGTGCAAGCTTGTCTATGATGACAAAGGCAGTTGAAGCATATCTGATTGCAAATCCAGCAGCTTATGCCTAAAAACATGATAGTTGTTGTTGATCTCAAGTAGTCTTGTTTCTGATGGTTTATTTGTGGCTTGTTGTACGGGTTATATGAGTGAGCTTCCTTCTTTTTCCTTCAGAGAACAAAAGAGTGATTCTCTTCTAGTATTTGTCTCTTGTGTTTTCCCTATGTTTCGATTTTCTCCACAGGTGTTTGGTTTTGAATAAAAATTTGTGTTTATTTGTGGCTTGTTTTGGTGATAAGAATGGGTATTTTTTTTAATTTTATTACTTTTTTTGCTTTCCCCCAAACTATGATCTCAACATTTTGTAGAATTATTGTAGCTTTCATAAGGATTTAATTCAAAAGTCATTTGAGACATTAAGTTGGCTTCATAGGCCTATATTTTGTCTATTGCCGTTGATTATTAATAACCCTAAATGTGATTCATAAACATTTTAAAATCATTCCAATCGGGTGTGATCAAACCAGCACCAGTGCACCTGATCCCATCAGAACTCCGCAGTTAAGCTTGTTTGGGCGAGAGTAGTACTAGGATGGGTGACCTCCGGAGAAGTCCTCGTGTTGCACCCCTTTAAAAAAAAAATTATTATTACAATCAAACAGTTGAAATTTTGATTGATCAATTTCATTGGACTTGTGACATCTAGAGTTTTGAATTGGTACCCTCCATTTATCAATCAAAGATATTGTTAAACACCATGAGATCACTATCAAATCACAACCACTAGCCTCCCAATGTTTATGGGGATTTGAAATGTTCAATTTGGAATGACTAGATTGTTCTAAATACTATAAATGATTCACATTTCTACAAAATTAGGATATTTCACAAATATATAATTCCAGAAAACCAATTATTGTCTAATAGTATCATCAAATATTGTCTCTCGCTCCTTATCTTGCTTTCAGGTAATGGGCAAATGAAAATAGGTTGTTGAGTTGATGATGAGACTAGAGATGCTAAAAACTGACAATTATCAAACTAGTTTTCAACTTAATGAGGCTTAGAGTACCTTAAGTCTACCTTAATTACCATATCATTATGATATATAAGTGATTTTTTTTTTTTATGGGATGAAAATTCTATCAATACTCCAACAAAAATTATGAATATGATGATATCTTAAGCAATTAAAATAAGGGTGAATTTACATACATATATAGCACTCTGAGGACTTCTTTTTGCGTATTTAATATCAAAATTCTTTATTTATTTATATGATATCAAAACTTATTTAACACAAAAGCAATCCTCCGTTGCATTCCTTGCTTAGGCTTCATTTGAGACAACTTTCTCACTGCTTTCTTAAGTAACTTTTTAGTACAAAAATTTTTAGAATTAGAAATTTTTGTACTACAAAACTGTTTTAAAAAGCTATAAGAAAACCATCCGAAATGAGCATTAATCCTGCAGGTTTCTTCTTTTTCTTCTTTACCAGCCTTAGTTGAAGTCCTCTAGGTTGTTTCTTCTTCTTCAAAGAAACATGCCATTTTAAAACTAGTGTTGTACAATTTATTTCACGAGCTTTAAAGCTTATGCATACTCTATTCGTTGATCAACATGACTTTTTGTACCAAAGATGGGTTCAAGACAGTAGTTCAGTCATCAACTTTAAAGGGCATAGAAAATTGTAAAATTTATTGTGAATGTAACTTGTATTGTGTGGGGTACTTGCAACAGAGGTGAAAATCATGGAATGAAAATTTGCAAATGGACGAGGTTGATGGGCATCATTTGGCAAGGATAGAAAGACTAGCATTAGAGGATATTGTTAAGAGGAATTTTGAGACCATGAAATTTTAGATTATAATTGATGTGGAACATCACATCGTAGTTATAATAAATCTTATATTCAGTATATCTTTAATTTCTAGAATGTTCTATTTGCTTTATAAATAACTAAAGTTAAGTGTAAGGGGATATAAAGAATATATAATATTGCTTTGAGTTTAGTATTTGTTCTTTGGTTTTGTTTGCACATCCACTTCTCCAACGATCCACTATATCAGTTGGTATTAGAGTCTGCAGGTCGCAAAGAATAAAGGACTGCAGAAGAAGATGGGCTATCGATGACGATCAAAGCCAAAGAAGATGGGTTGTTGATGATGGTCGATGCTGAAGAAAAGATAGGTTGTCGATGACGATCGAAATCATGAAGCCTTTTGGGCAACTCAAGTGAATACATCACTCGATCGATTAGATGATTTATGTTATAATTTCATTTGTTCCGTAGAGTGAATACGCATGTCGGCAATCATACCGATGCCTTTGCTATTTTAGTGTGCTCGCGCAACCGGCTTCAAAGCGATTATGCTACAATGGGTGATGTTGAGTTTGAATTACAACAATGAATTGTTATTAATGAGTAACTCTTTGATCCACAAAGTAGAATCGAATAGGATTTGGCTGTTCTGACTAAGAGAAACGGACATGATGATTGTGATTTGTAACCCAACGAAGCACCTGCCACTACTTGACGCCGGACAGAGGAGGCGAAGGTTACCACCACCTGGAGAAGTCCAGGATACAGAAGAAAACAGAACAACTTTGCTATTCTTTTTAAACTCATTCAAATCTCAAAAATTGAATACAAGAGAGAAGATAACCCTCTCTTTATTTATAGAGTGAGGCTATCTTTGGAGAGATTTATTACAGAAAAAAGAAATTTACAATAAAAGAAAGAAATATCATCTAACAAAAGAGAGGAGGTGGGTATGGTTGGCTGAACAAGTCTAAATAGGTCCACCAGGTGCCATTCTCCCTATTTATGAATGACTTCAGCATAAGCTAAAGTCGATGAAACTTGTTAATGAACTTAAGGATCTTGTTCTTCTTATTTTGTTTCTCATCCTCATCATCAATTATCTCCTTCTTAGTTGTCTTCTAAGTCTAAAGAAAAAATGGGATAGCTGATAAGCTCAAAATACTTTTTTAATTAGCTTTTTCAAACAACGCACTTCAAGGACAGAATCGAACTTGACAACAAACTGGCTAACCATGCTAACATTAGAGCCAATAATCGGCGCCTCCATGAACTACTTTGTGCTGGAACGTATAATGGTACCAAGTTTGTCGATAAGATCATATTTGATCATATTAATTTTGATATCAATAAGGGAAAGCATATTTGTTGCCTTATTAGGAATGATATGCATGAATAACTCAGGCTGGGCATCTAGTTTTCTCTTGGGGGCTTATCAAAACTAAGAACTCTAAAGAAAATGTCATCATCATATACATTATATACAGACTCATCATAGACAAGAAAAGATGACGATTTTGACAACGGGTCTTTAAAATCATCGAAATTGGACTTGATCGAAGTTGTGGAGAAAGACATACAGTTTGTCCATTTAAATACATCTTTGTAGGAAGAAGGGATTTGATCGACTTAGATACCCTCTCTATCACCACCACTGCTAACATGAAAGGAATCTTCAGGACGAGATGAGTTGAATCTTAGATTGTTCTAGGAAGGGACGACATAAGAGTTTCATATAAATTCGGCTAGAACGAAGGATCTTGAAGCCACCTTGGGGGCAGACTTGCCCTAGGGTCGGATGTCAGCAAAGTCCCGTGCGAGGGGACCGAAGTCTTTCCTTTATTTGAGTATTATCATTGTAAGAGCTCAAACTCTTAACTATCGAGATATTATCCTCTTTGGCCTAAGAGTCTCATGGTTTTGTCCTGTTGGTGTAACTTCCCAGTAGGTCATTCATCCCAAAATTGCTCCAAGATGAGTATGCTTAACTGCGGAGTTTCTTAATGAAATTACAACCATTACACAAAAAGGCACCTCGATATTTAAGAGTTTAGCTTCTATTACTAAAAGGGTTTCACAATCTTTCCCACTTAATTAAGTAACTAACATTCTCGTCGACATCTTTATCCAAGAATCATCCACCAATAGGACTCTAAAGATGACCCATATAAGTTCAAGTGGTGGCTCCCATCATATAACACTTTGTCCCATATAGGATTCAAGAGTTGTCTCCCATGACGAAGCACTTTGTCTTGTATGACACTTAATTCCCATCTTTAGGCCGGTGTTTTGTTTTGATATCATTTTCTAATAACACAAACTCTTAACTATTGAGATATTATTAGCTTTGGCCTAAGAGCCTCAAAGTTTTGTCATGTTGGTATAACTTTCTAGTAGGTCACCCATCCCAAAATTGCTCAGAGATGTACATGCTTAACTGTAGATTTTTTTTTTAATGAAATTTCAACTATTACACCAAAAGGCGCATCGATGTTTAAGAGTTTAGCTTCTTTTACTTAATGAATTTCACAACTATTTTATGGGTGTAAACGAATCGAGTCAAGTCGAGCATCTAACTAATTGAGCTAAGCTTATTTAGTTGTTATTGAGCTCAACTCGTTCACTAAGCTCGAGCTCAACTCGTTAAAAAATTCATAAAATTGAGATGGACTCACTTGCTTGAGCTCGTTTAGAAAGCTCAAGATTGACTCAATTGTTGAGTTCAATTTTTTAATTTTAAATAAAACAATTCTTTCTTTTTTTTTGAAGAATTTTAATTTTTAAATGTTGAGTAAATTTAAAATTATTAAAATAAATTATATAATATTAATTTAAATTAATTATTATATATTTTAATTTAATCAAGCTGTTCATTATGCTTTGGAGCCGAGTCATGCTCGACCTCGAGCTCCAACCCATGGCTTGATAAACTCGACTTGCATGCTCGTTGATGAGCTAAGCTCAAGTTGGCTTGACTCACTTACACCCCTATTGTCAATCCTCGTTAGAGTTGAGTCATTTCTCGCTGTAGATCTTTGATCACTATTTGATAACTATTTCTAGAATTGGTCGCTGATTATTCCTACAAGGCGACATCTTGTCGGGCTCTTCTTGGTTAATTAAAGAGGTTCGTATGCTGATGTGGCAGCTGTAAAAAACCATTCCAATTGTTATTGTGATAACAACTTTCTTGATGGAAAAGAAGAGGACTACAACTAATGTATGTGAAAGTAGTCTTCAAGAGGCGAGAGTCTGGTGGTTGGATCAGTTGGAAGAAGAACAAAAGTATTCTTGAGGCAAGGAAAGATATAAGGTGTTGAAACATCAAGATGAAAAAAATAGAGAATCTAGGTGGACGGATAGTGGCTGATTGGACTGGACAACCGATGCAGTTGGCTATTGGAAAGCAATCGCTTAGAGAAGAAAGCAGTAAGAATCCAGTGGCTGGAAGTTCTTTTGGCTGGAGATTTGGGTTGCTGGCATGGCACGAACATCAGCAATAAAAAGTTTGTTGCCATGGAGGAAGGATCCAGATGTTGAAAAGGAAGGAGCCGCTTATTGTAGAGGTGGAATCTGGCGGATGGAGGGTTGAGTGCAGGATAGCATAAGACGAATATGTTAGTTTGGCCAGACGCGCAATCGTGTTTGGCAAAGTGGTCCGCATGTGGCGTTCACACAGGGGGGGTAGAATCAGGCCAAATATTTGTGTAAGCAGTCACAAGCGGGAAAGAAAATAATGATTCTGGATGGCTCGCATCGGTCTTCTTGATATTTGGATAAAGAACATCTGCAACATATAGAGAAGACAACAGTCTTGAAGCTGAAATTTCTTGCGGATGCTATCTTGACTTTATCTAAATTGGGCAGCTGAAATTTCTTGATCCTATTATTAGAAAATTGAGATTACATTTCTGGAGGTTGAGGTCTTATGATTCAAAATCTATCTCGGATCCTAAATCTAAATTGAGCACTAGACCGTAAAAACCCGAATCTAGCTAATATAGTGCAAAATATGGATTTACCCCGACCTAGATTGAGAGCTAGCTAACCACCTAGTCAATTTAAAATCTATGAGTCTGATTATTTTATAAAAGAGTGGTAGAGACGTTGTTAAAGTTTTTGATATTTTGAACCGGTGTATAGAGTGGATCCTAATTGGTCCCTTGACATATGTGGGGTGAAAATGTTTGAAAATTATTTTTTTCCTAGAGATTAAACAACATCCCATTGATAAATATGCACCATCAAAGGCTAGGTGGTCTGCCAAAACCCGCAGGCGAGGAGATGCCTAACAATGAAGAGAAGCAAATAATATACTTATGCTAACTCACGGCGGTTCACAGCTTACTACTTATATTGTTAGAGTTTCTATGTTATCTTAATTTTTTTTATTTGGATTTGAATAGAAATAGTTTAGCATACCATCACGAGCCTCCGCGCGTCCAGGCTCAACAAAAAACTGCAAGCATGGGGGAGGCTGGAATGAAATTCTCTCGGGATGACAATTGGGACAGGTTGGAACGCTAGGGGAATGAAGAGGAATGCTCGGAGAGCTCTGGAGAGACTTTTTGAAAGCTTGGATGCGAATGAGGTGCTATAGATCAAAGTGACCTACTCAAGCCATTGTCGCGAGCTTGGATGAGCGGAAGTAATCTAGCCGGTCGTTGGATGGCTGCCAATTGGGAGGGGGCATCTCCCCACAATCTCTTGAGTTTGAACCCAACAAAACTAGGGTCTGGAAGACTTTAGTTGGAGCTCAGGGATTGGAGGACCACCGGAACTGGTTTCTCATTCATTACGACCACCACCGGCAATGGGCTGGGTCGAGCTGAGATGGAAAGACATATGGAGGTTTGGTGAGCTCAATGGTGAGTTCAATTGGGTTTGGGAAGCCCAATTGGGGAAGTAGGCTCGGGTTGGCCCAAACCTATACGGTTTGAGTCAATTTGGGTGCGACCTGGGTCAAGTCAGGTCATAGGATTAATTGGGAATGTGTGTTGAGTGAGGGAACATCCAATGGAAGTGTCAATTGGACCTAGTATGGTTTGTGGTGAGAAATAACTCAGGTCAAAGTGATTTTGACCACTGTGGGCTAGCCTAGGGATAGACTCAAGTCAACCCAAGGGCTGGTCTGGTTAGGGAAGATGTTTTGGACCTATGGACACCTAACAGAGGTGTTGATTTGATTTAGTGAGGCCTAGGTTGGGAAATGGCTCAACCCATAGTGGTTTTGACCACATTGGGTTAGCCTATTTCCTAACCCAAGCTAACCCAAGGGTTGGGTCAACTAGGGAAGGTGTGTTGGGTCAACTAGGGAAGGTGTGTTGGGTCAAGGGGGCCCAATGCCACCATTGGTTTGATCCAATACAGCTAGGGTTTTAACTTGGCTAAAGGGGAACCTCTCTTTGGACACAAGTGAGCCCATTGCTTGGGTCTTCAAAAGGGGTCTCGTAAGGACCAAATGGATCATTCCATGAGTTTGAATGGGTTTGAAGAAGTCTTGGTCAAAAGGTTTGAGAGGGTGGAAATGTATGGAAGGTTTGGTCAAACTTGGTTGAGTTGGTCAACCAAGTTGACGTAGGATCAAAGGCTTGATTCATTGAGTTCAAATTGATCATATGAATTAAATGGAAAAGGTTTCAAATCAAGAGGGGCTCATTCGGTTGGAAATAGGTATTTAAACCCTTATGGGGCACTTTGGTTAACCATAGTTGACTTGGTCAACTATGTCAAACCAAAGGGTGAGTTTGGGTCCAATGTGTTCCTAATGATATTTAGGACATATTGGGTTAGGTTTTGAAGATTGATAGGAGAAAGCCATGTTGAATTTTGGGGAAAAAGACTAAAAACCCCATTTAATGGATATTTTTGTCATTTTGACCCTTAGTCAACCCTGGGTTAAATTGGGTAAAACAAAGAGTAGGTTACTGATCAACAAGTCATGGCAAGGGCCATGGATGTGATTACAAGGTTTGGAAAGAGTCCCAAGGCCAAATTCTACTAAATGGTAAGCCCAATAGTATATGTCGTAAATATTTAAAGGTTTTGCAGCATTTAGAAATTCACTCAGTTTAAGGAGCTAGGGACCTCATAATGAGTTCAAATTTGGTGGGTTGGTCTTAGTTACATGTCTAAATAATATGCAATTGATAGATCCTAAATTAGAGGCCATTTGATTGGGTTTCCAGGTGACAGAAAATTCATCCAGAGAGGGTTTCAGGACCTAGTCCTTAACCCTTTGATTTGGTTTGGAATGTTGGATTTGGACTGGATTTTGGAATTGAATGATTGAGTTTGAATTATTCACATCAATGGAAAAAAAAATGAATGATTGAGATTGATTGTATATGATTTAAAAATTGATTGAAAGTTGATGGAAGGCTGGACTAGAGATTGGACTGAAGGGTGGAACTAGATTCTATTAGATTTAGATTTGATTTTGATTGTGACTTATATAATGGAGAAGTAGACACCTTCTAATCATTAGGTTACCAGATAGAAATCTGGATAGGTCCTAGTGACCTCATACAAAAATGAGGTCAACAAACAGCTAACTAGCAATTATAATTATAATTCTAACATGCACTAAAATTGGGTATCCTATAAAAATAATTGTTCAACAAATACTTGTGACCCTTTTCTCCTTCCTCTCCTTGCCCATGCCTCTCATTCCTTCCCTTTATCATTTGCAACTCATTCCAGAAATCAACGTCACTTGATTTCTAACTAATCATCATCAAATTCACTTTGTGTGCATTTGCGAGATGAAAACATCATGACTGAAAAATCAATAACATCTTTAGAAATTATATCATTCTTTTAAAAAAGAGTACCAGAAGCCAAAAATATATACTTCCGGATTAGCAAGGATTCTTGTCTCTTGCAAAGTTTCTGTTATACACTCTAAAAAAAGACTAGTTAGTGTTTGAGTAATTAAAATAATATATAACACATTATGGTTAGAGAGTATGAATTTATAATCAAGTTTATTAGCCTAGCACTTGCTTTGGATACTGCATATATGTTGGCTCTCCATTTCCATGGTAAAGAGAGAAGTTCTTTCAAATAGGCTAGTGATTGCAAACGAAATCAAAATATGTTAGATTACAAATTTTAATTTTTATGACTGTAGTGATTCCAAACGAAATCAAAACAGAACAAGCATAGAATAAAATAGATAAATTAGGAGAAGGAATGCAAGAAACTATCAATAAGATTTGGAGGCTTATTGGAGGAGCAATGCAAGCATAAATGTGTAAATAATTACTCAAAAATACAAAAATTAAAGAACGTGTGTCGGGATCCAACTACTTTGAGCTCGACGGGTCGGGTAGGCTGCCAAAGGTGACTTCTTCCCCAACTTAACTGGCACCGTCATCGTGGAGTCGCGTATGGCATGTGCCAGTGGCTGGGAGGTCGGAGGAGGCCTTCTGGATGGACCAATGGAGGACTAGAGGTGTCACGTATGACGTATGCTATGGCTGATGGGGGACTAATACCGATCCACAATGTCCATATGCCATTCGATTGCAGATAAACAACTTAGATTAGTGATTTTACGAACCGCCCGGTTCAACCAAGTTCTTGACCGGTTTATTCCCGATTTTCAACACAGCCGGTTACTTCAGCTAACCGGACCGGTTCACTGTTGAGCCTACCGGTCCAGTCCAGTCCGATTTTGAAAACCTTGGATAAAACACTACATTATAAATATTGATTATAATATATTGCTATTGTATAAATAATTTCATTCAAATTTTAATTTTCATATGAATTTATATAAAAAAATAATTCCATGTCCTCCACTCCTATTAACAATATGACAAAATACAAGCAGAGACAGGATCCCAAAATAACGTCCGACCATGAGCCAATCTCCACGTAGGCTCTCTCTTAGCCGTTGAAATAAGCCGAACATCAACCAGCCAATATTATCCCCAGTTTTCCCCTCCCTTTCGACTCAACAACCTGCTATTTTATCTGTGGCCATCGCTTCTCATTTCTAACAGCCTCTTATTTTATCATTTTCCTCTCTGGCTATAAAGTTGCCAATCCCGCCACACCTCTGAGTTTCAACTCCTCGTTCTAAATCCACCCAACCCCCTCCATGCAATCTCCCCTTGCTTGGTAGGGGAAGATCTTCATCACCTCCTTTGCAGTTCTAAACGATCAAACTCGCCTTAGCCAATATGGCCGTAAACAAAAAGGGAGCTCTTATAGGAGGCTCTGTGATCCTTCTTGTTGCCATCGTCGCCGCTGTCAGTGTAGTCGTCACCCACAATCGCTTCGCAACCAAATCTGCAGCACCTTCAGGTAAGGGTGGATTTATGGATTAATTATTCTGTGAGGACACCAAATGGAGAGAACCGTTCAAATTTGTAGCCATTTTGCTACGCTTTTATAAGAGGGCAAGAAATATTTAATATTTACTAAATAATTAAATATTTGTTGCGCTATTACAAAAGGACAACAAAAGAGTAGTAAAAAGCATTCATAATTGAATATTTAGTCCTTCTGCAAAAAAACGCAACAAAATGGCAACAAAAGCGTAGCAAATCCGGATGGTTCAGAGAATAACCTCTCGGATTTATAACGGGATGCTAACTTTTCCCTCAAAAATATTTTATTATATCATATGATTTATCTTAGGTAAATATAATTTTTACAAAAAAAAAAAAATGGACCCTTCTTACCCCTTCTTAAATTTTAAGATTTTAAGATTTAGAATCATAAATACTTATTAAAAATATTTATGAAAATTTTAAAATAATTAATTTATTTATCGTTAAATTTAAAATTTATGACTCTGTCATTGACTACAGGTAGCACCAACCTTCAAAGCACCTCAAGATCGGTTCAAGCCATATGCGAGCCCACAGACTATCCTGATATTTGCGAGTCGGCTCTTTCCAAAGTAGCCAAAAACACCACCGACCCCAAGGAGCTCATCAAGCTCTCCTTCCAGGTAAGGGCTTAATTGATCAATTGTAGAGGGATTATTCTGTGCCGAATCTGAACGCAAGCTCTACATCTGAATACCAATCAAAATGAACCACGTCAACGATACCGAGCCTCAGTACCGAGGAATATCAAGCCACGAGCTTAGATATCATGACAGATTTTGCTTCCGCACCAGAGGCGATTGTGAAACAATTATGATTAGAAAAAATTATTTATTCATAATAATTTAAAAGATTTACATATATCATACATTTTTTATATAAATACATATTGAACAATTAAAATTTTAATTTACTCTTCATAAGTACCGTTGCATTCTGCTAATTCAAAAAACTATTTAATCTATTTACCATTGCATTCTGCTTTCAGGTCGCCACGGACCACCTTCGACAAGCCTTCCAGCATTCGAAGCTCCTCTCAACGGCAGCGCGGGATCCCCGCACCAAGGACGCCCTCAACACCTGCCGCGAGCTAATGGAATACGCCATCGAAGACATCAAGACCTCCTTCAAAAAACTCGGCGGCTTCAACACGTCCGAACCCGCGAAAGCCGTCGACGAGCTCAAGCTCTGGCTCGACTCCGCCGCCACGTATCAAGAGACCTGCCTCGACGGCTTCGAGAACACAACCGGAGACGCCGCAGCCGGCATGCGGAAGGCCCTCAATTCTTCCATGGCGCTCACCGACAACGCGCTAGCGATCGTCGGCCACCTCGCGAAGTTCGTCGACGGGTTGAAGCTACCTGACGTGCTGGGCCGGCGGCGGTTGCTGTCGGACGAGGAGGTGGAGGCTGTAAAGCAGAAGGATTTTCCGGCTTGGGTTAGTGCTGATCGGAGGAAATTGCTTTCGATTCCGCCGTCTGGGATTAAGCCGGATGTGGTGGTCGCGCTGGATGGGAGTGGTGATTTCTCGAGCATTAATTCAGCGCTGGGCGTGGCGCCAATTAAGAGTTTGACGCCGTTTGTCATATACGTGAAGACCGGAGTGTATAAGGAGAAGGTGACGGTGTACAGGAACCAGACTAACATAATCATTGTAGGCGATGGCGCAACGCAGACTAGGGTTACGGGAAGCCTCAACTTCATTGATGGGGTCGGCACTTTCAAGACCGCCAGTTTCGGTATGCATTTAGATATGGATCAGAGAACGTTTATATATTACACATTCAGATTTAAAATTTTATATGTTATGAACATAAAATTTCAAATTTTAAATTTATAAATGTATGTATGTAAATTGCAGTGGTAATGGGCGAGGGATTCATCGCACGGGACATGGGCTTCGAGAACACCGCTGGTCCAGCCAAACACCAAGCCGTCGCCCTCCTCGTTCAGGCCGACCGCTCAGTCTTCTACCGCTGCCAGATGGATGCTTACCAAGACACCCTCTACGTCCACACCCTCCGCCAATTCTACCGCGACTGCACCATCTCCGGCACCATAGATTTCATCTTCGGCGACGCCAAAGCCATCTTCCAAAACTGCCAAATCTTCGTTCGCAAACCGCTCGAAAACCAGCAAAACATCGTCACCGCACAAGGCCGCAAGTCCCGTCAATCCGCCACCGCAATCATCCTCCACAACTGCACCATCACCGCCGACCCCTCTTTCCCCCCCGCCTTCCACGCCAAGAACCCTACCTACCTCGGCCGGCCGTGGAAGGAGTTTTCAAGAACGTTTGTCATCCAGTCCTTTCTCGATACGCTCGTGCATCCTAATGGGTGGCTGCCATGGCTCGGGGATTTTGGGCTGAGGACGTGCTTTTATACAGAGGTGGATAACAGGGGACCGGGGGCGGATAAGAGCCTGAGGGTTAAGTGGAAGGGGGTGAAGAATATTAGCTATGCGCATGCGCAGAAGTTTACAGTTGAGCGTTTTCTGTGGGGAAATGACTGGCTCCCTTCGACCCAGGTGCCATATATTCCGGTATTGTTGCCGCAGTCGTTGCCTGAAAGGATTCACTGATGAGAGATTTCTTCTTGTTGTCTTCATATAAACATATCCTTGTCTTCCATAAAAGAGATGAAAGTTAGTATCTTTATGATGCATACGTTGTTTTGTTTTAAAAATTTCATCTTTTTTTTTTTCCTTCGGTGTTCCGATGCCTGTAAAAGGAATACACTAAAATCCAATAGCTATTCATTGTTTGTTTGGGATTATGATAAATAAGAGTAAATTAATTGAAACTCCTTTACTAGCCTTGAACTAATCTATGATAAAGAGTTAAAGACAGAAAAGACATAGGAAAGCTGTTTACAACTAGTTGTAACGTATAGATCCAACAAAGATCATTATAAATCCATGCGTTAATTTTCCGCAATTAGAAAACAACAGAACAAGCGTAGAAGAACACCAATTCTATCACATGTTAGAGATAAAAAATACTTCTTTGCTCAAAAACAGTATTGATAATTGTTTCAGAGCTCTGGTTTGGGAAATGCATGGAGATACTGCATATGAACTCCAATTGCAGTCAAATACTTTCCACTTCTACCAAAAAATCCACGAATCCTTCCTGCTGCTATGGGTGAGGAGAAAAATGTTCCAACTTCGTCACCAACTGGGCCATATTTCTGTTTGTTTGTAAACAAAGTCATGGAGGTTATAGCAACATTATGTTCGTTTGCATCTATGGAAGACCAATATCCTGAAATCTGTTCCAGGTACTCTTCAGGGTCATCAAATTTGATCTGCAGTGCAAGAACAAAGAGGAAAATGGTGAGCAAAATATCATATAAAGGCTATCTAAAGTCATTAATAAAACTGACCCTGTGAACGATATGGTCTGTCCCGAAGCATCCACGTCTAGAAGACCAAATCAACTCTCCAAGGCAGTCATATTTAATCATTATTGAGCTAAGAAAATCAGCAGTTTTGGTCAATAATATTTGAGTTATTCTGTCATTGAAACCATCATCAAATGGCTTTCCAGTCACGCCACCCCATGGACCAGGATCAAGATGCCAATCACTAGTAGGAAACATGAGTTCCTGGTATGATAAACAACAATTTTAACAAAAAAAAAAGTCTGCAAGTGAATAATAAAGCAGCATTTTTTTGACCTTTTTCATGTCGAATGGACTTTTGTTTGATGAGGAAACAAGCAGGGAACGATCTTCAAAGACAAGTGGCTTTGTGGATCCAAATGGCTTTACATGAAAGCCAATGGACTTCAAGTAACAGTTTTCAGAAGTACCATGGAATCCATTGATTTCGCCATCAGTAGTTTTGAAACTGAAGAATGTTCCTTGTTCAGTACCGTATGGTCCATAGGTGCGGAGGTTGCTCATAAAAGTAAGACAGGAGATGACTTCGGACAAGCCTTCTTGCAACTTTCTAGAGTAGCCGGTTATCCCTGTAAAGTACTCATCCGGGTTTTGTAGCTTTATCTAAGATTGAATCTATTGTTAGTTGCTATAAAAGCATAAATCATTTGATAATAATTCTTGGTGATGAAGAAGTTATTTGAATAATGGTGAAGAGAGTAATATGATCATTTGACTGTTTTTATAATTTGAACAGTAGCAATGTATCAGGTAATGGAAATCTGAATCAAATCATAGTTACAAGAACATACCACAAATTTCCTAGACACAGGAGAAATTGATACATGACGAATTAGCAAATCAACACTTGAACAAGGCCCCTCTAAGTAAAAGGACACTCTTTTAGCAACTGTATTCAACGAGAAAGAGCACTTCAGCTTCTCCCATCGCAAGTGTGTTACATACACACTGACAATAAAACAACAAAGCTTCATGAAAGAAAATTTTGAAAAAGGATAAGCAAAAGGAGCGTTAGGTGTTAAAGGTACAAACAAATAACTTAGATAATCAAGGGAATATAACAATTAAGAAAAATAGAATGAAAAAGACTCTGTCTTAATATCTCAATAATAAAAATATATTACAATAATCAACAGTGTATATTCCTACTATAAATAATTAATAAACGTTGACAATTTAAATATATCAACACTTACCAGTAAAGAAAAGATGACATAGAAGATGTAAATTCATAGTTTGAAAACAAATAGAACCAAATGATCATGATGATATTATTGTTGAACAACTAATACCTTCCAAGATGCAGAAAAAACGTGGTACTGTCAAAGTTATCTATCCTAACAGTAGCAGTCATCTGAAATTTTTTCCCATCACCTCCCTTAACTGAGACATGTGCAGAAACATCATAAATGGCACCTACATACACTTCTCCAGTGATATCCTGTTCTATGCTATGCCAGAACTCACTACGCCGGGTTACAATCGCATAGTTATAATGACAACCAACTTCTCCTGTACTAGAGACAACTTCAGCCTGACAATGATCCCAGTTCCTCCTCCAGTATTCGATTCCTTGGCTGAAATCAGCGTTCTTTATAATGTTCGAATTTGTTGGGCCTTCGAAAACGATTTCCTGTTCATTCTGTCAGGAAATTCAGACATGTTATGAGTAAACTTCTCTGCTTCCTGAATCTCACTTCCCTCCAAGAAGCAAAATTAAGAGAAGAAGATATTACCTTTATAAGTTGATTAGAATTCATGCATTCAGTTGTGCTTGACGTTGAATACTTGACACAAAGGGACTTGAAGCCCCCTTCGTAGATCAAGGCAACCTTTTGAAGTTTGCCATCACTCTTGTGGCAGAAAGGAGTTCCTCCTTCCTCTGAACCCCATGGCCCTACTGAGATTGTTTCTCCTTCCATTTTATACCTTCTTGATCGACAAAACTGAGAACATGGGAGAGGCAGAGCCGTTCTTTGGGAGAGCTTAAAGGACCATAAGCGAGGAACTGGCAAAGGAATATATAGAAGCTAAAGTGACGCCTCGTTTCCTACGGAGAGTAAGTGTGAATCAGGCTAGAAAAGTTGAAAAGATGATGCGGGGAACTAAAACCAATGGGTCGCATTCATTTTTAAAGCAAGACTTGTATTATCTTAATCCTAATCTAAAATGCTTCTTATTATTATTTTTTTGTATTTACACCATTGAGCTTTTTTTTTTTTATACCCCGCTGCTACCTCTAAAGGATGCTTGGCAGCATGACTAATCCTTGGCTGACCTATAAGAGGCACTCACCGTAGAAACCACCTAGCCTGCACTTGATTGAGCCCCACTTAAGAGGCACCGCCTCTTGAGGGGAATCGAGCACGGGATTGGAGGTTTCGAATCGTACTCGCCGACCAACCAAGCTAAGTATCGATGGGTACACGTTGAGTATATTCAACTACATAAATATAATGTTTAAGTTAAGTTAATTCAGGTCCCTGCGACTTGATAAGTCAGTAGAAAGAACATCAAAAACTCATTTGGCTCGAGCATGAACTCGTCAAGGGCATGAACTAGTTAGATTTGACATAAATTCACCGCATTGCTTATGAATTTGAGTTGCCAAAGCCATTATGAACTTGCCATCTTGGACTCAATTCAGAGCGTGCTCGACCAAAAGATCGGTTAAACCTACTCGCATTGGCTTTAAAGCTACTCACTAGCATTCAATCATTAACTTTTGCAACATTAACTCGTAATTTGAACCTATAAGTAAAAGGTGAGGAGCAAGCCTAACACATAGGGCTGCAAGTTGAGCCTCAACATGTTTAAGTTCAAGCTCATTTGTCAGGACCCTATTCGAGCTTGGTTTAACAAGAATCAAGATTTTTTAACTTCTATTCGAGCTCAATCTTGTTTAAATAAACCATGTTCAATTGTTTAGTCTTTTAAACACCTCTTTAACTGACTGGTTAAAACAAAATAAAATACATTAAATTAAATAGCGAGCAACAGGGCAAATGCCGCCCTCTTCAATTTTCTTGTTCTATAGAAGAAAATGAAATATCCCCGCACGGTGTGGGATTTTGATGGGAAATTTTTTCTTCTTGGGCGAGATTTTTTTAATAATTTAAATGACTGAGAATTAAAAAAATCTAATAATATTTAACAACAAGCCGAATGACATGATGTTCAAATTCATTTATTAATATATCGAGCACATATCAAAAGTGTTCGGGCTCATTCGTTTATCTAATCAAACGAACATAAATGATTAAATGAGCTTTATTGAGCCAAGCCACGAGCATCTAGTCAAATGCTCGGTTTGTTTATAACCCTATTTAATGATCTTCTTAATGAGCTTTTAATAGCTAACAAATAAATTTAGATTCAACAATACCATTAAAAATTATGCAACATACAATCATTGTCTTTGAGATTGAGTAGGATAATATGGTATTTTTCTTATTTAATAAAAAAATAATTCTGCTCCACACACCCAACTATAAAAAAACAGAGATGAATGATCTTTAGTCAGAATAAAACAAATCAAAATTGTCAAAATTTAGGCTTATGCTATACACTAATTAATATCAATTAGGTTCAAATTGCTAAATCGGATGGCTTCATCAGCCAGCATAGCCAAATTTCTCCATTTACACAGCACTCGTCCTAAACAAATTAAGGACCCATAAGAAAGCAAAGATTTTCAGCTGAACCAAAAAAAAAAAAAAAACCGGCTCAGAAATTCAGATCTTTAGTATATCAAAATTGTTAGCATAAGAGATGATCTACATAACCGAAAAAAAAAAAAACCCTTTTAGTTTATCTCTAAGGAAATTACACTGAAAGAAAATAAAAAACATGTGATGCTCTTCTTATAAGATTAATACACTTCCTCGTCTCATTTTCCAGCGCATGATATCTTGACATCTAAGGTTTCATTTGGAACAGTTTTTTTATTGCTTTCTAAAACATTTTTTTAATACAAAAAAATCCGTCTAGTTCAAGAAATTTTTATATTAAAAAATTGATTTAAAAAACAGTAAAAAAACTGGCATAAATGAAGCCTAAATTTATTCTTTTCACGGCGCAACAGGATACAAGCGGTCATACTCACTGCATTGCCTGAAAAATGGCAGAAATGGAAAGATGACAAATAGCTTGCTCTATGAACAAGGAATTTGATAAATTATGAAAAAAAATTAAAGAATCTTCCTACACTGAATTTGTTCTTAGTGCAGGATGGTTTTTCTGTAGGCTTAGATGGAGCAGGAGCTAGAGCTGGAGTTGGTTGCACTGCTGCTGGTCCTGAAGTTGGAGCTGTTGAGGGCTTCTGCTTCACTGTAAGATGGCAATGTTCAAAAAAATGTCACAGCTTGGTTAGATAACACCGCCATAGCAAATATAATAGGCGGTCTCATATTATATGATCTCTCATTTCAAGAACAATCATAAGTTTCTCAAAAATAAATAAATAAATAAATAAAGTTAATATTTTGTTGGTGGAAAGTAAAGACGATCCATGATATGAGGAAAAAGGCTATGTTTTCTCTCAGGAAATTCCCTAATCCGTTAGCTGAAAAGGCAGATCATGTGTTTAGGCACAGCATCACACATCTCAACAAGTAGTGAGGGACTTATTTTCATTGTCATATGTGATTGAAGATTGTGTCTATTAATGATTCGATCTCAAGTTGATCCAATCTTAAAGTCATTCTAGACGGTCTCAAGCCAAGCTTATAGTATGTTGGCTCGATCTGATTTTGAATTAATGAGTGCAAAATGACCTTTTAACTTTGATATGAATTTGATTCGAGCCAAAATAAGATACAGTTTAGATTAGTTTTTGATTCATTGATATGTTGCTTCCTGAAAAATTCGTGGCGGTAGAGAAATATGGAGTTTAGCATCATAGAATTATACGAAGATCCAACACACACAGACAGATAAGAGAGAAGGTGTATGAGAGTCATAAGAGACACAAAGATTTTTACGTGGAAAATCCTAAAAAGGAGAAAAACTACAAGGACTGATCCAGTTAATATGATTTCATTAGTGTTCGCAGTCAATTATAAATGGCGCCCTTCCGTAAGGGGAAGGCATTGTCTCAAAGTATCATATAGAGCACATCATATAGTGGGATTGGAATAATCCAATGATAAGAGAATCATTCTCAAGAGAACATTGGCCTATTCATTTGGTTGGTAGGACTGTATTTGGGTAATGGAGATCAGAGGGACTGTAGTCGGCGGGTGACGATGGTTAGATGGAGCGTGGTCAGCGGACGATGAAGATTGGAGGGACCGTAGTCGACGGGCGGTGGTGGTCGGAGGGACCATAGACGGTGAGTGACGGTGGTCGAAGGGACTGTAGTAGATGGTCGATGGCGGTCGGACGAACCATAGTCGTCGGGCGATGGTGGTCTAAAAGACCATAATCGGCGAGCAATAGTAGTCCAAGGGATTGTAGTCGGTAGGTGGCGGAAGTCGATGGGCGACATTTCGAAGGTCCGAGGGGTCGTAGTCGGTAGGTGGCGGAAGTCGGCGAGCGAAGGTGGTCGGAGGGACCGTAGTCGGCGGGCAACAGTGGTCGGAGGGACCGTAGTCGGCTGCCACCGACGGTGGATGGAGGGACCATCGGTAGTACTACGCTGATCAACAACCAGGTGGTGGTCCGCCGGCGGTTGTCAACGAGGTTGTGGTCTGACAGCGGTCATCGACTGGGCTATGGTCTGGTGGCAGTTGACAGTTGAATGGTAGTCCAACAGCGGTCGGTGGCTGAGCAGTGGTCCAATAATGGTCGGGCGGAAGTCCGGCGGCTGTCTGCGGCCAAGGGGAAGTATGGAGGCGGTCGGCGGTCAGCAGTTGGGAGAGGGTCCGACGATGGTTGGGGGGAAGTCCGAATGCAGTCCAAGGCTAAGGGGAAATCTGGCGACGGTCGGCGGCGGGGCGGTGGTCCGATGATGGTCGGGCGAATGTCCGACGATGGTATGGTTGAAGTCTGGCGGTGGTCAGCAACCGAGTGGAAGTCTAGCGGTGGTCGGTGGCCTAGTGGAAGTCCAGTGTCGGTCGCCGGTGGTCTGGCGACGGTCAACGGAGGTTTACCGCGGTGCTGTTGGAGCTCTTGAAACCTCATAGCTCTCTCCAATCTCCAGCCAAAAATATCCTCTTTCATATAAAGAATGGAGGTCTATTTATATATTTTTTGAGAGTGACACGCCCCATAAATATAGAGAAGATCTGGAGCAGATTTTGAGTGCTCTATTGGACAACCAATATTGATCCCCTTGATTATATAGCATTTTTCAAGTGTTTAAGTGCCTTAATAATGTTGGAATTCAGCGATCTTGGGCTCGTTGGATTCGTCTCGCCGAGCTGCTTGATTCAACTATAAGCATGTCATATTTGTATATCATTTGGTCATTTAATTTAGGCTTTGAACCTTCCAAAAAAGCTTCAGGCCCCCGATTTGGACCCATTTGGGCTTGGATGGATCCATTTTCGTGTTGTTGGGTTCGTCTCTTCGAGACATTCAGTTTGACTATAATTTTGCTGAAATTGGAGTTCAAATGATCCTGAAATTATTTTTGGAATTTTTCAACATGAATATGAATCGAGATTCATGCACGATCAAATTGATTTTTGGTGATGTATCAAGTTCTATGCATACATATGCAGAATCACATGGGTAAATGAATAGATGCATATATAAATGGAATTAATTAGATGCAGCGGTAATGGAAGAGGTAAGAGACAAGGAAATGGAGGATAAAGTCAGGGCGGAAAATTAGGGAGACAGACAACAGATGTTTATGGAATCTTCTGAAAAAAGGAATTTATAGGGAAACATGCATATTCAAAGAAGCCAGCTTTCAAAACTGTTATTGGGCTATGACATGCATTGCTTTGACCATGAATAATAAATGAGCAATTTGAGCGGCCAAAGCTTGAGCTCAAGATCTTGATAAGCTTGGATTGCGAATTTATAACCAATGGAGCTTAGTTGGCTCATATATAAAATCATTCACTAACATATAGATTTGAGCATAGAGATTTTTGTGAATCCTGAAAGTTTTTTGTTTTTTGCAGAGATTTGAACCTTTGATGCGATACAGCTAAATGAAGTGAAGAATGAAATCTAAAAAGAATATTCTAATGATTAACTTCATTTCTCAAGTTACTTCTGATAACTCTTACCTTCAACAGGAAGTTTCCCATAATGTTGCCTCATAGATTCAAGAAAATATTCTTCTCCATGTTCTTTCATCACTGATAGCAATGCAGAAATCATATTATAAAATTTGCAAGAGAAAGATTGTAAGTGCAATCAATTTGTCAGGAAAAAGGTGCACCTTGCTTGAAGAAAAAATCTCTGTAATCAGGAGAAGAACCAACCAAGAGCAATTGCACAGCTTCAGCATCTCTATTTGTTGATGACTTGGCAAGACTACTCAGATTTTGAGTATCTAATAAAATTCCAGCAAGCTACAAGCAATAAAACTATTAGTCAGGGATCTATGACCGAGATGCAAAATAACAAAGTTTTAAGATCACATACAAGAAGTCTTCTTAAATTGGAAGTCTGAAGTAGATCATACGCATCTTCACAGTAGTTATCAGTCAGAATTGTACACAGAGATCCAACCTGAAAGGAACAATTGAATGATAACTAAATAAGAACAAAGATATAGCATGTCAATTCTCTTAAAAAATAAGAACTAATAATTACCTCGCCATTTGTCTGCAAAACATCTTGTCCCACAATAAGTAAACTTAGCTGCTTGCCCATTAACAGGCCCTCCAAATCTAGCTGGTTGCATTAAATAGAAGATTCAACAAGTTTAATGTCTGATGCAAATAATATAAAATGCACAGTAGTGCCATCCCAGATTATACACCCAATTAGGGGTGTAAATTTCTGGACACGGGTCGGGTTCGGGTCGAATCTGAAACACACCCGACACTATTCGGGTCAACCAGAACCGAAATCGTTTTTGCAAACGGGTCGGTTTTTCAGACTCGAACCCGACCCGCTTCGTGTCCTGGTCAACCCGGCACGACCCGAATGACCCGGGACTGTGAAAAAATTGCTAATTTTTGGGCCAAATATGGGTCAATCTAGGGTTTTTGGGTCAATTTCGGGTCAAATGGTCAACTTGGATCCAACCGAACTTTTTAAACAGGTTGAATTGTTGAACCCGAACCCGGCCCGTTTCGGGTCCGGGTACGGGCCGGGTCCGGGTTGACCCTAACCTGGAATTTTCAGGTCGGATTTGAGTCCGATTTTCAGGGTCGTGTCACCCCTACACCCAACACACATAAATGATTGGCCAAGATTACTTTAAAACTGAGGAAATTGAAATAAAATTGTAGGACCTCATCCGAGAAGATTAAAGCAGAAGCATCGATTCCAATGTGATGAAAAAGCCAAGCTGCTTGCTTATGCTCCCACATTCTTGCCCTCCTCATGTTGATCACCGGCACCACAACCTCATCCTTAATCTTACTCTTCTCCCTCTTCCTCGTATTCTCCAGCAACCACGCGTAGCAAATAGCCGCCACCATTGAGCTGGTGTCTATATCAGAAGACAAGGTAATACCAACGGTCAAGATCAGCGAAAAAGAGCTTCATAAAATAAAACTTCAAGGGAAAAGCATCACAACCAGGCGTGTACGACGACAGGACGATCTTGGCCTTAACGGACACTTCACCGTCCGAAGCCATACCGATCGTTGCCCTCTGCCGGCGCAGGAACGCGTTGATCATCTTCACGTCTTCCCCCCGCTTTCCCTCCACCGCCAGCTTCCGGCTGCTTGAAACAGATCTCCGTATTGTAGAGTCCTTGTCAAGAGAGCAAGTGGAAGAGGAGACCGTCCTCCGGTGGGAAGATTTGAGCAGGTTTCGCGGCGGAGAAAGCGGCGGAGGCTGGTGGAGAGCATTCTCCGGCGAAAGAGGCGACGGAGAGCGAGGGGAAGGAGAGGAACTGCGGAAGGTGCGGCGTGAGGGGACTTCGTGGTTTTTTTCAAGGAAGCGGGATCTAGGGTTCGGAGGAAGCTTTGGTGGGAGGCGGCGTATCGGATAGGAGTCAGCGTCGGGTTGGCCAAACGGGAGAGAGGCGTGTTGGCTGGCGGCGGGAGAAGTGGAGTCGCCGGCGAGGTGGAAGTCGGACCTGTTGCGATTGTGCCGCTCCGACGATCGCTGGAGAATCTCGTCGCTGATGCCTTCTATGGATCGATTCCTGCTCCATTAACAATTCAATTGAACAATTTTTTTCAAGGCATTAACCGTAGTGTTTGACTGTAATTGAGTGATGGTTTCTTTGCATAAAAAATTTATGAAGAGGAATGAATGAGGATCAGACATAATATTAAAAAATAAATGAATTTATATCTAATTTTGACTCCAAAAATTAATTAAAAGTTAAATAAGCTCAAAATAGTTTAAAATAGTCGCGAGACAAATGATTCCAACGGCTCTAAAAATGTCAAGTTTCAAGCACAAAAAGGACCTTGAGGTTGAAGCAACTAATATAAGAGGGCTTAAAAAAAATAAAAATAAAAATAAAAAACTAATATAAGAGGGTTTTTGTCAATTAAATCAAAAGATAGTATTCAATCTACATTTTCTTTATAGTTTCATCATAATTTTAACATCTATATTATTACATGCTAGGAAATTAATATCCTAGCTTTTATAAAGATTAAGCAAACATATAGAAGTTATAAGATACAAAATATTTTACGTAAAAAATCAAAAAAGAAGAACAATCACGTTGCTTGGAATAATTGCAATAATCAAATATATAATTGCAATAATCAATATATAATCATGTGGCTGACCAACCACTATCGATGTTGGCACCACCTCACACCTTTTTTTTGCAAGCGGCTCCTAATATAGTTGCCTTTTTATAAAGTCATCTATTTTAGCCTGATAGTATTGACAAAAAAAAAAAATTAATTAATAATTTTTGGCATTTTTAAAAAAGATTTTTTTATTTTTTCAAATTTTACGATTTTTCTAACTTCCACTCTACCCCTTCAGGTATAACCCCCTCACACATGTAATTTATTTTTTATAGGCTTCAATAAAATATTATTCTTGAGAGGTAGTGTGTATGCCCCTTACATTCTCTAGTGTTTCTCCATCAAAAGCAATGAATTATCCTATGAAATTATTGGAAAAATTCAGATATTTCAATTTCTTTTTTATAATCTCTAGTTTTACATTTTTAAAGAAGTTTGATGATGTCTTATATAGGTGAGTTATTCTCATTTTCTAAGCTCTACTATTCTCTCTGTCAATGGTACAAAAATGCCCTATAGGCATAGTTGTGAGTGACATCTAAGTTATGATCTTCCTCTTGAAGGAGATTTGTCTAAGTCATTGTGGGAGATTATGATCTAACAAAATTTCCCCTACATTTTGAAGCTGAGATTCTCTTCAAATGAAAAGACAATTACTATTAAAGTTTGTTTACAACATTGAAGCTGCAAAAAGGTTGTTAATGAAAGAACTCTAATTCTTGGAGCTTGACTTTTAACTTTATATCTACAATTCTACATTTAGGGTTAAAATTGGTGATACAGAGTAACAGTGTTGTTGTTAAAGTCATTTGAATCTTTTGGAGATGTGTTGTAGATGAAATAAAATTTACATTATTGTATTAAACTTTAAGAGAAACAAGAGTACTCAATGGAAGTCAGTGTAGGAGTTTGTAGATTTATTATATGTTGGCTTCATGTAAATATAGTAGTGTTGTATGTGGCTTAATTAAGAAGTGTATATTTCTTCTTGTACAATCTTGATTGATATTTGTAATCAATTTATTGAAAGTTATGAACTCTCTATCTTTATGTTAGAGTAATTTAGATTTAGAAAATCCAACTCCCAGAAGAAATTTAGTCTTTTATGTCCTTGAGTCAATATTTGAAATATTTTAATTTTGCTTTCTCAAAATATTTTGAGGTTTTAATCTTCTGAGATTTTTGTACAATCTTCATTCATAGCAAAAATTTTGTGCCGCCCAAATTTGACTGTAAGGACCTTATCTGAGCTACAAAACTGCAACCCTACCTTTGTTCATGCGAATCAACTCGCGATTCGAAATAACGCCCGTCATCTTCACCCCTTCTCCCAAAACTCTAACATTTGCGCCTTACGCGCTGCTCGCGCGACACTACCGAACACCTTCCCCAGGCCTAAATTCCTACCCGCTTCCATGCGGGTAACAACCTTCTTACAATCCAAGACCCACGCATTCTTCGCGCTCTGGAACCCAGTCGCACCCCTTTTGCTCGTGTAAATCATGTGGTCTGACGTGCCCGAACATTGTACTTTGTCGGCCTGACCACCTCCTACTACACGCTTGAACCCTCTCCCACGTACTCCTTGCTCGAGCACTCCACACATTCCTGCCCATGTGCATTCCATTCTGCCTCACGCGGCCAGTATCAGCTTCGCACACGTCCCTTCCGCGTGCTCCTATGACCCGTGCATTTGACCCAGACACTTTGTCTGCCTGATCCCCCAAGCCTGCATAGCCGTCCATCCTGGTTCTCTTTCTTTCTTTCTTTCTTTCTTTGGACAAGAGTCCTCCTCCACCTCCACCAAGCTCTGATGCCACTAATAGAATCTTGGATGAGGAAGAAGCATTTTTTCTTCAATGTGAGTGAGAGAGGGAAGAGCACAATTGTTGGAATGAAAAAGGAACTAAATTTCTTTTATTGGCTTGCCTATCTATTACATTCTATTATACTTATTTATAAACATCAATGGCTACACAAAGCTACACACAAATGGCAATACAAGCTATACAAAAATCTAAATTAAAGAAAGCACAACTAAATCTGGACCAATGAGAGAGAGATAAAGGCATGTCAAGTGAATATAACCAAAATTTAAAACACTATATTGAATGGCCTATATTTATTCTCTCGATTATATACCATTTTTAATGATGTTAGATTAAATAATCTTGGGCTTGTTGGAATATTATCATCGAGACGCTTGAATCGACTATAATCATGCAATATTTGGGTATCATTTGGTTATCCACTTGATATATTGAACTTTCCAATTACACTTTAAATATTCAATCTGGACTCATTATGACTCCGAATTAGATCACTTTTGGCATCGTTAGATTCCTCTCATTGAGATATTCGGTCTGTAATAAGTTTGCTAAAATTAAAAGTTTATATGATCCTAATTTTAATTTTGAAATGTTCCAATTCAAATATGAATCAAGATTCCCGTTCGATCAAAACAATTTTTGACGACGTATCAAATATAATAATTTTCTTTCCAAATTATCAGATTTGGATTCCTTATCAATTTACATTGAAATATAACAACTTAAAGAAATACAACATACATTCATTAAAAAAAAAAAAACAATGTAAATCATTATTGTGGATTGTATGTATCAAACTCTGTTCTCCTACACTTTAGCATATCATATTGTAGATAGAAGCAATTTCACATAGATTTTTTTATCCTCTGGTGCCAATTTATACTTGAACGTCGTCAAAAAATTATCTTAATCGGGCGTGAATTTCGATGCAAAATTAAATTGGAAACTTCAAAAATTAATTCGGAGACCATCTGAACTCCGATTTTAGCAAACTTATAGTCGAACTGAGCGTCTCTGAAATACAAACCCAACGACACCAAATTTGACTCAATCCGAACCCAAATGCGTCCAAATCAAGGACCCGAAGTGCTGTTGGAAGATTCAAACCATAATTTAGATTACCAAACGGTTTCCAAACATAACAAGCTTATACTCGAATCGAGCGGCTCGATGAGACAAATCCAACAAGCCCAAGATCGCCGAATTCTGACATCATTAATGTCTTCAAATGTCTAAAGAACGGTGCATGATCAAGGGATTCAACATCGACCGTTCATCCGACCACTCCCCATTTACCCTTGATCTCTCACCTATTTCCGGGTCATGCCACTCCAAAAATCTATAAATAGAGCTCCCTCTCCTCTTAAGAAGGACCCCGAAGCCTAAGAAAAAAAGAGAGAGATCAGAGATCGCTCTTGCTTCCTTGCCTCCTCGACCACTGACAGAGTTCCGTTGGACCACCACTTAAGGCCCTCACCTCCGCCGGAGCCGAACCACCACTTGAGGCCCTCACCTCTGCCGAACCACCATTTGATGTCGTTGCTCTGCCAGACCACCACTTAAGGCCCTCACCTCCGCCGGACCATCGCCTGACGTCATTGCTCCGCTTGACACCACCTGAGGCCCGGACTTTTGCCGGACCACCATCTGAGGCCCGAACTTTCACTGGACCACTATCTGAGGCCCGGACTTCCGTCGTACCACCACTTGAGACTCTATGCTCCACCAGGCCACTACATGAAGCTCGGACTTCCGCCGAACTGTCACTTGAGGCCTCGAGCTCCCCCAAGCCATCACCTAACGCCCGGAGTTCTACCGAAGTACCATCTTTCTACTAGTCTTTCAGACTCCTATCTCATGCCGACTACGGTCCTCTCGACCTCCATCGCCTACTATGGTCACTCCGACCTCCATCACCAGACAATGGTCTTTCAGACCCCGATCTCCTGCCAACTACGGTCTTCCAGACTCCTATCTCCTGCAGACTACGATCCTCCCAACCTCCGTCGCCTACTATGGTCACTCCAACCTCCATCACCAGACAACGGTCTTTCAGCCCCGGTCTCCTGCCAACTAAGGTCTTCCAAACTCCTATCTCCTGCCGACTACAGTCCTCCCGACCTCCGTCGCCTACTACCGTCCTTCCGACCTCCATCACCAGACAACGGTCTTTCAGACCCCGATCTCCTGCCGAATACGGTCCTCACGACCTCTGTCGCCTACTACGGTCCTTCCGACCTACATCGCCAGACAATAGTCTTCCTGACACCAATCTCCTACCAACTACGGTCCTTCGGACCCCCGTCTCGTGCCAAATATGCCCTTTCCAACTAAACAAACATGTATATTATTGTAACTCCCACTATGTAATGCGCTTTATATGATGTACATTTGTACCATCAGCCTTCTCCCAAAGAAGGGCCTCATTTGTAATCGACTGCAAATACTAGTGGATTCATTCAAACGGGGTCAAGCCCCGTGATTTTTTTTCCCTTTTCAAGGGTTTCCACGTAAAAACTCTGGTGTCTCTTATGAATGTTACACCCTCTCTCTTATCTGATTGTGTGTTGGATCTTCGTATAATGCTAAGACGTTAAACTATATATTTTCTCTACCGCCGCGAATACTCCAAGACACAACAATACTAATTCTTATTTTCTTAACAATAATAAAAATTAAGAAGCTTAAGCCGGCCAAATGTAGTGGTAGAATAGGAAGACAACTATACTGAT